CAATTTTCTTCTTTCTTAAGTTTAAAAACTTAAAAGGTTTATAAGTATGACTATGTTACTTAAGTTTAAAAACTTAAAAGGTTCATATTGAAAGTGCAACATGTGAAAGAACTACAGACCCATCACAGTATAGAGCCACTAATATACAAGTATTTCTAATATAGTAGATCATATGTCAAGCATGATCTCTTATAGTATTTTATCATATTATTTCTTGAATGAATACGTGAATGAATGGGTGAATAAATTATCATTATTATTTATGCATAGTTATCAAGAGTAGACAAGGCGACTCCTTTCGAGGATTAGAGGACTGTTAGATGTAACGGTTAAATGGATCCTCCATCTAGAGGAATATATCCTCACTTAGATGAATAAAAGATACCACTCCATTCAGTATTGGGAGTATGATATAGGTTCTCTTAATTCACTATTGGGAGAAATCGAGTATGCCTCTCCCTCCGCTATTTGGAGAGTGCATCATTGAGTGTAATGCATGACTTTGTTATCTTACTATTATATATATGTTACGTATGATTGATGCATGAATTTATTTATTACATAAGAATTATCATTATTTTTTTAATATATAAATTTTAAAATAAATTGATATATTATCATTTCATATTAAATTATTAACATTAGTACATATTTTACATACTAACATGTTGATATATTTTTATCTTATATTTATTTTTAAAGTAATCTATACAAAAGAAACTTTTATATAAATTATGAATAATAAAATATTATTTTATTATTTTATATAAATTTAGGATGTACACGGACGGCCACTATGTTGAGCTACGGAAGCGAGCGGAGGCACCATTGGATGCCGTGACATTAATATGGATATGAGTGATAATGATGATAGATGACGAAGGCGAGTGGGTGTCACTGCGATAGATGTTGACCCAGGTAGGCAACAGCCCAAATGGGTGTCACTATGATTGCTGCGCTCATTAGGGCACCGGACGACAGTGGTAACACTAGCTGGTCAGATGAGACACCCTAGTGTGGTCGACCATTGGTGTTATCATGGAGAAGCCACGGCGAGAGATCCTGGAGGCATCTACCACTCACGATTTGGAAGGCTCAATTTTGACCTAAAATAGGTCAAAATTGATTTTCACCATATCTTTCCCTTTAATTTTGGCCTCGGTCAAAATTAAATTCTGATCTGATTTGGTTTTTTTTTTTTTTGTTCTTGACTGGATTTTGACCTAATATGATCTCTATTTTAGCCAATCCTTCTGTGATTTTGACCTAGTTGGTCAAAATACTGATTTGACAACCATTTGATTTTGACTTTGGTCAAAGTCTAATTTGATCTCGATCTCGAGATTTTAATTGCCGAATAGTGATTTTGACTAGGTCAACTTTTTGAATTTGATGTTGATGAAAATTTGATCTTGTCATCTTCTTTTTTTGATCAATCAAGCCAAAATTTGAAATTTATGTTTGATTATTTTGACCATGGTCAATTTTAAATTTTGACTGGACTTAGATTTTGACTACAGTTTGGTTGGATTCTGATCATAGCTTGATTTAAACCTAATTTAATTAAAATTTAAGTTTTTGATGATTTTGATCTTGATTAACTTTTATTTGATTAAATTTTAATTTTAATCAATCTTATATCGATCAACTTTAATCTTGATTGAAACAGAGATCTCATTTTTACAACAAGCCCGATGAGCTTAGTTTTTCTTACATATCGATAACATTGTTTTCTTTCAATCGAATGATGATATTTTTATATATTATTATTTTTTAATAATATTAGAAGATATAAATTTAATTTATTATTATTATTTAATTTTAAAATTTAATATTAAAAAATTATATAATAAATTTATAATTATAAATTTTAAGTTTAACAGCAGCTGTCACATCTACGTGTCGAATGCTGTCCCCAGCTGCTGCAGCAGCAGCTGAGACGATCCTCCACTGTTCGATCTATCACCTCCCTTCCACCCTGCTACATCTGCTCCAGCCAGTTAAAACTCTCCTCCTCTTTTGCAATCTTTATATACATTGATCTCCACATGCATCTACTCAACTGTTTAACTCTTGGATGTTGTTCTTCTATTATTATTATTAGTAATCGTCCGAGAAAAAATCAATCATCGTCTGTTTTCTCGACAAATTTATTAGACATGGATTGATTAAGAAGTGGAATTACTTTGGTTGACAGAGACTGGCATGGAGAGAGACTGACCTGCACTTCTTTCAGCATTTGGATTATGTTATGTTGTTTCTTTCTTGTTTCTCTTCAGTTATCCCTGTGCTCGTTGTATTCAAGGTTTTCTTATGATGGATTGTAGTGTGCTGTTGTAATCAAGATGTACTTGACTGTAGTATGCTGCTAAACTAGTTATAAGGATGAATCACTCATGTCACATCTTTATCTCCTCTTCTAGTTTATCTCACGCAGAATACATTGCTCCACATTTAATTCAGTTTATAAAGCCAAGTTCAACTCAACTCTCTGTTCTTGGTGATCCTGCAAGTCGATCGGGAAAAGAACTGATGGCATACTAGCCGATGCAGGAATACAAATAAAAATGCAGTAGAGATGTGATGCACTAATATAACTGGAAACTATATCTTGGATTATAACGCCGGCAGCAGCATCTGCAGCGGCGATCTTCCATGGACTTTGAAGCGCTTCGCCGCTGCCCTCGACACCCTCTTCCACCCCTGCAAAAACTTCATGTGGTCATATGAAATCCCAGACGCCGACATTCTGTACTACGGGGATGAAGCATTACCAGCCTTGACGAAGGAACTGGAGAGAGGTCTAAGCTCTTCCTAGTAGCTTTCTGCTTCTTGTACGTGAGCTTTGCTTTCACTCTACGGGGCGCCACTGGAGATCCAGCCAAGAGTTTCTTCCGGGCGCCGTCGAGGAGCAGCGAAGCCGGTCCATGGCGACCGATTCCGCCGCCGCGGGGAAGCAAGGGAGACCATATCCCGCTTTGGGAGTAGTCGAAGTCGAAGGCGGAGTTGTCCGGGAACTTGTCGAGGAGGACCCTGGACATGGTCGGCTCCAGGTACTTCACCGTGATGACGCGCTCTACTGTCATGGCTCTAGCAGCTGAGGAAACGGAGTTTTGGGGTGGCTTGTGGTGGTGGAGAATGGTTTGCAGAGGGAAGGAGGGAGAGATCGATGGGAAATAAAAAACCAAGGTAGAAGCGACCGTTGCTTCTCTGTGTTAGTATTGGGGGAATCCGACCGTTGGGATTTGGCATCAATGGGTCCCGTGCCGAATCCAATAGCAAGGTGGGTAGTCGAAACGGGTACGTTCAGAAGCGGGATGAAGTGTTTCCAGTGCATCCCACTTCGTATGATGTGTTCGACTGGGTCCCACGCAAAACCTCCAATCATAAGACAGGTAAGTGGGACGGGCAAATTAATGAGGGTGATGGGCAACATAGGTGGAGTTGAATCTCCCATGTGTGTTTGGTTCGATTCCATTCCACTCGATGTCTTCTAAGTCAACCTAATTCCCGGTGTCATCTGGTCTGGCACGAACCGAGTTGCCGGATAGCAATGGTCAACATTTGATTTTTGGTTGGAAATTTCCTTCCATTCTTATTTCCTTTGGAAAAACAACAGTGATTATTATTCATCTTAAGCTAATCTAAACACGGAAGTGTCGTTTTCGTTATTTGTGTGTGGATCACCAAACCATGACAGAAAAAAGACTTCTTCGTGTTCTTATCTGATAACACGGTCGACCCTGTCAGCATGATGGAGATGGCAGTGGCTCCGATCCGATGAATCCACTATGGTCAAGGTCTTTATCGTTGTTTAAGACTTGACATCAGAGGACTAGAAGCTGCCCGCGAAGTCTTCCGTCAAGGATAGCCACACCCAAGAAAGCAGGTCTGATGCAACCTCGTGCATTTGATTTCAATCACTTCCATCACGCTCAATCAATCAAACTTCCATGACGTTGCTGTTCTTCTTTTTCGCTTGGGATTATGACGCCATCGACCACCATAAGCCGTCTGAACGAAGCTTTTATTTTGTTGACCAGTTCCAACAGAAGATTGATGTCGATTTCTATTTTTTTCCCCTGCAAATGTCAAGGATGAAAGGACGTGTCTACATTCTAAATGCAGCCACAAATTTCCTCCTCTCTTCTGTTCTCCATTAATTTGCGTCCTTCTACCGGAAGAAATAATTGTCCGGGTCCTGTTCAGCAGAATACACTAGTATCAGTCTTTGAAAATGTTTCTTTGATGTTTCCTGCTTGTCAATTATTCTCTCTCTCTATCTCTCCAGTCTATGCAGAACCCAACCAACAGGAGAATCAGCTTAATGAGAAAACTTATTCTGAACATAGTTAGAAATATAAAGAGAATTAGAATCTTTTAGAAAAGATCTACTATTATTTGGTTGATATTTAGATATAATTAAGAATATACTTTTGAGATTTCTTTTTGATATTTGAGAAGAATTCAATTAACTTTCTACATCATATTGTTTAAATTCTTTATTTTTCATGTGAACAAGAAGGCTAAAATCATTGACTTAGTAAATTTTTTTGATGCCAACAATAAGTCTAGCGTCATTTGATCCAACTCGATTTAAGATTATATATGCAAGAGATCCTAAATGACTTCAGGGATAACTCGAATGTGTGTCGATCAGTATAAAAATTAAGATTTCGTGAGATGCATGATAAATTAATAGTGAGATGAAAAATAAAATTATATATGTTAGCAGATTTTAGAATGAATTAGGCAGAAAAAATATTCTACGATAAAATATTTACCCTGGTTTCGTTTCTAAGATAAACTTGGTTGGGTGTGAAGTCTGTCATCATTTTTTCTCTGGCCACTGTGTTTATGGCAGGCGCCCATAGATGCAGCATCACTCGAATTTTCCTGGTGGGAAGGTTAAAAGATATGCTACTTGCCATGCAACCGATGACTTTTTTGAAGGAAGAAGACTTCCTACAAGATTATTTTTGATCCACGTATATTTTCACTTTGAACACTTCAATGTCGTGTTTATGAGGGTTTCAGGGAACCTGCAATGGTAGCCGCTCATGTCTTGTCCGTAATAGTTGTGACAGTGTCATTAACATGATGTCTCCCCATGCGCAAATAGTTCCGACTTTAAGTCGTCCACATCCGTCGGGACATTTCCTGCACCTGTTGATCGACGGCTTGTTTCAGTCAACGCTTCGGGGGTTGTTGTAGAGCAAGATTTAGCAGCCTTCTTCTCGGCAATCAGCCCCCCTGCAGATCTCGTGGTGGTAGCAGCAGCAGCAGCAGCCATCTGATCTGTGTTGGTCCTTGTGGTAGCTAGCCATGGTGGTTCATCGATCAAGCAGCATGTTGTCTGCTCTCTTTTGCTTGTGTATCGTTGTACCTTCGGCAACCTGCCTCTCCTTCAATCTCTCTTTTCTTGATCCCGCAAGTCGCTCCGGAATCGAGCTGCAAGGCAATGCAACCTGGAACAGCACCGATGGCATTCAGCTCACCAACGACACCATCATCTACAACGTGGGGAGAGCGGTGTACCGAGAGCCGCTGCTCCTGTGGGATGCCCGCACCAAGGCGTTGTCCGATTTCACCACCCATTTTTCCTTCATCATCCGTAACTCTTCGAATACTTCATCGTCCGGCGATGGCCTCGCGTTCTTCATGGCGCCGTATCCTTCTCCCCTCCTCCTCGATTCCTCCGGTGGCCCTCTCGGCATCTTCAAAAGAGGCTCCTTGAATTCTACTGTCCCGACGGTGGCGGTCGAGTTCGACACCTACCAAAACGAATGGGATGTGGACGACCACCACGTTGGGATCGATGTCAACTCGATCGTCTCACAGAAGGTTGCGAGCTGGAACGGCAGTCTCAAGACTGGGATGCAGGCGAATGCATGGGTGAGCTACGACGCCATCACTCGTAATCTGAGCGTCTTCCTCACTTATGCCGACAACCCTGTTTTCGCTGGTGATTCCGTCCTCCACACCGTCATCGATCTGCGGGATCACCTACCGGCAAACGTTACAGTAGGCTTCTCGGCGGCCACTGGTCAGGTGACCGAGACGCATGCCGTTCTATCGTGGTCTTTCAGCTCGAGTCTGCAACCAAGAAGCATTCCGCCGCCGACGGCTCCGACGGCATCGGATGCAGCGAAAAGTAAGAGCAAGACGGGGCTCATAGTCGGTTTGGTGATCGGAGCAGGGGCTCTGATGGTCATGCCGGGCTTGCTGTTGTTCGTTCTGTGGAGGAGGAGGAGGAAGTCCCGCCGCAGGAATGCAGCAGATCGTGAAGAGGACATGGATTTCGATCAAACCACGGATGATGATTTCACGGGAAACAGAGGGCCAAAGAGGTTCGCGTACAAAGAGCTGGCCCGTGCAACGAGGAACTTCTCCGACGAGGGTAAGCTAGGGGAGGGAGGATTCGGGTCGGTCTACAGAGGTCACTTGAAAGATCTGAAGCTTGATGTGGCCATTAAGAGGGTCTCTCGGGAGTCGCGACAGGGAAGGAAGGAGTACGTCTCCGAGGTCAAGATCATAAGCCGGCTGAGGCACCGGAACCTGGTGCAA